AATTTCAGACACGCTTGAATTTGACACCTTTATTTCTATTACACTCGCTTTGATATTGACAATCGTACATGGAAAACTAGCCAGAAAAATCTTATGGAATGGAAAAATGATTATGAAATTATCGATTTGAGCAGCTTTGATCGATATGAACAACACATGTTGGTTGGTCCAATTTAATCTAATGGATTTTTTTTTTTAATTACAAATGTATGAAATTTTCAATTTGTGAGATAATCCAAGAGATGTCGAGCTTGGGGAGGAGAACAAAATACCATTTAGAAGGGCGTGAAAATCTTCTCCTAGTAGATGCATTTTAAAGCCTCGAGGGGAAGTTCGAAAGAGAAAGCTCAAAAAATACAATATCTACTAGCAGTGGATCTGGGCCGTTACAAATAGTATTAGAGCCAAACACCGAACTATGTGCCAGTGAGGAGGCTGTTCCTCGAAAGGGTAGACACGAGACACACAAAGGTTGTTCCTCGAAAAGGAGGATGTTTTCTACTACTTTATTTATACATATATTTAATTTTTTTTTTTTTTTTAGAGCTTAGGGATATTTTGTAATAAAAATAAAATATAAAGTTTAGGGATGTTTTTATTAATTTAATCTCACTTTTACCTTTTAAACTTTATTTGAGGGCTGCAATATTACACGAGAATAGTTTAGTAAATAAGATATTTTCTCATTTCCTTGAAGCCAATGGTTTAAACTTTTACCCCGACATTTTTTGTATTAAAAAATATATATCATAATCTAGACGTAGAAGTGATGGGACTCTTTATAGCCAACCGCCCACGTGCGCCTCCACTGGTATATCAGACTCCACTTGAAAAGAAAATTGAAATAGCAGGGTTGAGTGTAAAATATATTCAATAAACAACTTGTTGGTGGTTCTTAGTCGTTCTTAAGTTTTATGAAATAAATTTTGATCGTTCATCTGAGTTTGTTTCTAAGAATAAATTCTTTTTAGGTTACGTCCTAGGTTAGTTTGCTTCACCCAAGCTCAACAGGTTCGATAGAAAATTAGCTAGCAAACTTCGTAATAGTCCCCACAAAGTACGGTCATAAATCATAAGTCAATTCTATAATTATCTAGACCCTGACAATTGAGTCGGGTTTACGATTAGAGGCTAGTTGGCAAATTCCTTATCATCCTCGTATAACTACATAAAATCACATGCATGAACCGATCATCATAAGTCTCAAGTTCATATCCCTGCCACTCGTGACACACTCACTCAAAGGAAGCTAACTGACAAGCTCCCTATTAATCCCCACATAATACAGTCGTAATATTATAAGTCAGTTTTATAGTTATCCAGACCCCTAACCAACTCCTTCTCCAGATCAGTCACGAAACCAAGGTTTTCAAGTTGTCTTTTGCCACCTGACTCCATTGTCCTCGACATCAGTGACATCGTACCGTGGCTACCGCCACACGCATTTTCTGTATTTTCATTTTTCTTTTCATTTATTAAAAAAAAAAAACAGATATTACACAATCTGACTTTTCACACATATACTAGTCGAAGTTTATACATTTACTCATCCAAATGGTGGATTCGACAGTGTCAACACGACAACAACGTTACAACAATGACGACAACACGACAATGGTCGAGCATTCAAGCAATAAGCAATGATGGTACTAAGTGTTGCAAAATGTATGGCCGTGACATTCTTCGCTCCTCCATAGCGATCATCGGTCGACGATTGGGTCAGGTAGACGGTGATCGATTGGAGAAGAGGAAACGAGAAAGGATGGAAGAGGGCAAATTTGTAATTTTATAAATATATCTCACCATTTAAAAACAAACATCAAAATAAATATTAGAGGGCAAATTTGTAATTTAACTAATAATTAAATACAATTTAAAATAAATCTCTCTCTTAGTCATGGTTTTGCGTGCTAATTGCCAACTTTAATTTACACGATAAATAATTATTATATGTTTTTTTCAAACTCAACGCACATTGATTTCATAACCAAACCGAAAATTCCACCATTCTGGGGGTAGAATGGTCATTTAACTCCACGCTAACCTTCCATAATTTATCATATTTATACAATTCTCGAAGTGAATTATTTTTAAATACTAATAAAAACTTGCATGAATATTGGCGTAAAAGAAAGATTATTGAATTAAAAAATTAATAAATAATACAAATAACCAAAATTACAAGTTTACCCATTAGGTTCAGGTTTATTTTGATAAATTGAATTTAAAATATATTTCGTATAGATTTTAAAGGTTAGATTCTAAATTTTTTTATTTTTTATTTAATATATCTTTAATATATTCGCTATTTTGTAAAATTTACTGACTTACTAAATCCAAAATTACAAGTTTCATATTTAAAAATTTGAAATATATCGAATATAGAGTAAGAGTTTATAAGCTTTTTATGCTATAATCTAAAATTTTCAGCTTTGTCGAGCTGCTTCGCTCCTGTGGTTGCGAGCTAGAGTTGCCGTAGGAGGCCCCAGCAGGGAGAACAGTAAGGATAACGAGCACAGAGCCCGCCAAGTTGGCGACAGGAGCAGCGGGCAAGTCGATCTGAGTTCTGTTCCACACGCTTTCGTTTTTAAAAGTTTCGCTAATCAATAAAAACCCTAATGAACCTAAAAAAATGATACAAATTTGAGACCGGCCATGTGTGTACATGAGTAGGGTTAGAAAAGTCTTTTGGATCAGCACGAAATTTTGTGTATATTGGTAACTCGAGCAACTTGAATAAAATTTACAACCCAACCAACCCTTTATTTTTTTGGTTGGATTGTCTAATTATTATTTTTTAATTATTAAAAAAAAACCTACCTATCTACCATACACATACACGTTACATTAATAACTAAAATATCTTAAAAGTTCAAATATTAAACATTTACAAGTCACGTGCATCATTAAAATCGGTTACAAACATTAAATATTCTTTATCTTTTGTAAAATTAAGGTTAGGTTGACCGACAAAAAAAATGTCAAACTACAAACCGAACTTTCAATATTTATGGTTTGAATTGGGTAGTCTAAGTTGGTCGAGTTATTGAATTAATTTCATTTTTTATATTATGATTTAATTATATGTATTTTTTTTAATTACGTTAATTTTGGCAGGTTTGAATTGATTTTAAATTTAAATTTTGAAATATTTTTGAAATGCTATTAATACATAATCTTCCAAATTAGTCATCAATATTTAAATTGTCATAATTAATATAACTCCATTTCATTAATAATTTAAATAAAACATATTCTTCAAATACTTTTGTAATTTTTTTATTATAAAATTTTGAATTTTATATTTAATTGATTTTTTTTTTTTACATTTAATAAAAAATAATAAAAATACAATTCTTAAAAGTTGATTTCCAAGAGACAATACTCCAAAAAAGACAAAGTTTGTTTCCTTTTTTGAATGAAACCCACTTACATTAAAAAAAACAAAAAGAAAAGTCCACGTCATCTCTAATTATAACGTGGGTACCATGGACCATGAATCAGGACTGAGTTTAGACATTTTTTTAGACCTAATTTAATTATTTGGATAATAAAGTTTTCAACTAAAATAGTTCTTATTATATAATGAATCGAATTCGACCTAACCATAAAATATTGGGTTGGGTTGGGTTGGTTTAGGTTGACTGTCTCGTCCTTGTGACCATGTATCTCTCGAGCACTCTTCCACCTCGACTACTGAGATCTCATTAAGCAACTTGTAGGTTTTCGAACCTGACCTAACCATAAAATATTGGGTTGGGTTGGTTCAGGATGACTGTCTCGTCCCTGTGACCGTGCAAATTCTTAGCACTCTTCCACCTCGACTATTGAGGCCTCGTTAAGCAACCTGTAGGATCTCGAACTTGACCTAACCATAAAATGTTGAGTTGGGTTGGTTTAGGATGACCGTCTCGTCTCTGTGACCATACAACTCCTAAGTACTTTTCTACCTCGACTACTAAGGTCTCATGCAGCTCCCGAGCACCTTCCACCTCGACTATTGAGGTCTTGTTAAGCAACCTGTAGGATCTCGAACCTGACCTAACCATAAAATATTGAGTCGGGTTGGTTTAGGATGACCGTCTCGTCTCTGTGACCATGCAGCTCCTGAGCACTCTTCCACCTCGACTACTAAGGTCTCATGCAGCTCCCGAGCACCTTCCACCTCGACTATTGAGGTCTCGTTAAGCAGCCTGTAGGATCTCGAACCTAACCTAACCATAAAGTATTGAGTCGGGTTGGTTTAGGATGACCGTCTCGTCTCTGTGACCATGCAGCTCCTGAGCACTCTTCCACCTCGACTACTAAGGTCTCATGCAGCTCCCAAGCACCTTCCACCTCGACTATTGAGGTCTCGTTAAGCAGCCTGTAGGATCTCGAACCTAACCTAACCATAAAGTATTGAGTTGGGTTTGATTCATGATGACTGTCTCGTCCTTGTGAACATGCAACTCTCATGCACTCTTCCACCTCGACTACTAAGGTCTCATGCAGCTCTCGACCACTCTTCCACCTCGACTACAGGTCTCATTAAGCAACCTGTAGGATCTCAAACCCAACCTAACCATAAAAAATACTAGGTTGAATTGGCTTAGGATGACCGTCTCATCTCTGTGACTATGCAGCACCTGAGTAATCTCCCACCTCGACTACTAAGGTCTCATTAAGCAACCGGTAGAATCTCAAACCTAATCTCTAAATCATTTAGAGAGACCTCAAAGTTTCGACCAGTTCTATTAAGAATAGTCTATTTTACCCGCTACCTCAATAAAATAAATCAAATAAGTTAATAGAATCGATGGAAGACGCTAATTAGACATTAAAAAAATAGATTAATTAAATTATATCATTAAAAAAATAATATTAATTGAGAAATGGTTTGACTGTATTAGTACCACGTGGCAGCTGACAGCCATTGAAGTTGAAAAGCTCCGTTTTTTATTTAATTTTTTTTTCCATTTCTTTTCGCCGGTGGGTTTAGTATTTAATCATAATGCGATTTTTCGAAAATCGAAACTAAAAAAGGAAAAAAATCCTTCGCCGTTGTTGTTTGTTCTTCATTCCTCCGCCCACCACTCGCCACTCGCCACTCCCCAACTCACCTGAGTCACTCAATCCGAGTTCCAACAATCATCAAATCATTCCCTCATCTTTTTGCCCAATTCCTTTGTGGGTTCGTTGTTTCAACCTCTTCTTCCTCCTTAATTTCCCGTTTTAACGCCGCCATTGTTGCCCCTTTTCATCACTTCTTCTCCTCTCTGTGCCCTTTTGCTTATTTGCTCTGTTTTTCTTGGAACTCGGAAGTGGGGAGAAGGAAAAGTGGTGGGGTTTCGATTTTCTTTCGTTTTTGTTCTTAGTTCTTCAGTCGTATGGATTTTAGCTGCGACTTCGAGTGATGAATCTGTATGTCTCTTCCATGGCGACGGGTTGTTTGATTCTTTTGATTGCGATTCCCTAACTCGCTTTCTTTAAATACCCACATCTTGATTCTTGGTTTTTCGAGCGGGGTTTCGTTTCATTTCGCGAATCTTTTCGATTCCGATTCGGTTTGAGATTCTTTTGGGGAATGCAGGATGTGTTTTGAGGATTTTTGAGATTATTATCCTCTGCTGCCGTCATGTGCGGCGTAGTTCTTGCGAGGCGTTTATTTTGAAGAATTTAATGATGATTTTCCTCAAGATTCTAGGGTTTATCCGTTCGTTTGCGGCTGATTTCTACTCGGATTTTCAAGAATTTGTATTCTGAGATGGTTTCTTTTCTCCTCCAGCTCTGCGATTATCACACATTGTCGCCATTGGAACCAATTCCATCAGGTACTCCGTCGTCTATTTAATAAAATCGCCATTGTTGTTCGCTTGCTAAGCTCTCTAGGGTTCTTCTTGATTCTGTAACGTTGAAGAATCTGATTTCTGGGTTTCTGTGAGATTCCATTGATTCTTCTCCTTATAAGTACTCTTTTTCAAGGATTCCAAAAGGGAAAAAGTAATTTCTGGAAGAGAATAAGGATTTGCAACGGCTTAAATTTATCTCCTCCTTCAAAGCTGCTTTAGATTTTGACATTATTTTGAGCCATTTCCGTTTCCAAGTGATTTATTGCCCATTTGAAGATCTTTATTGCGTATTTATCTATCATTTGGGCGTTGCTCTCTTCATATCTAAGTCCATTGCTGTGAGTTCTGAGATTTTGAAGCATCCATGGGGCTTCCTAGAACTCAGCTGATGCTGATTGTTCAAATGTTGTTCTTGTTTGTTGCTGATCCGGTTGTGGTTCGGTCGGTCGATATCGATTCTTCAGCGAGTTCTCTTGATGCTCTTCTGCAAGAGTATGCTTATAAGGGTTTGGTTAATCCGAAAACTGGTGTTCCTTATGATGCTGCTGCTCCGTCGAACATGTCTGGTATTAGCATTCGAGCTATGAGGCTGAGGAGTGGTAGTTTTAGACGGTACGGTGTCGATTCGTTCAAGGAGTTTGAGATTCCGATGGGGGTTATCGTGCAGCCGTATGTCGAGAGGCTTGTTTTGGTGTATCAGAATTTAGGTAACTGGTCTGAGGTGTATTACCCTGCATTGCCTGGTTATACCTACTTAGCACCAGTGTTGGGTCTTCTTGCTTACAATGGCTCTAATCTCTCTGCAACGAACCTTCCCGAGCTCAAAATGAGAGCTTCCGGGGACCCAATACACGTCAAGTTCGACAATATCAAGTCCCTCCCGGATGGGACCGTTGCAAAGTGTGTTCGGTTTAATCTTCAGGGAATGCCCAATTTTAGCAGTGTGGAGTCTGGAAACACATGTTCAACCATCCAACATGGTCATTTCTCCATTGTCGTCGAGTCCATTGCTCCTTCTCCTACACCAACGTCGCCCCTGGGGACAGTACCTCCACCTTCAAGGAAGAAAAACACCACCAAAGTATGGATCATAGTAGGATCCGTGTTGGGTGGAGCATTGCTATTGGCGCTGCTCGCACTCCTCGTAGTTTCGATTTGCAAGCTAAAGAAAAGAAAGAAAATGGAAGAGATGGAGAGAGCAGCAGACGTAGGAGAACCTCTACAAATGGCAACGGTCGGCGAAACAAAAGCTCCGACTGCAACCGTGACACGAACGCAGCCAACTCTGGAGACAGAATACGTGCCTTGAGCTGGTTCCGTCGATCGAATCAGGTACTCGAAAAAACACAATTCATCCTCTCTCATTTGATATGGGTTCTGTCCTTGGTTTTTTATGTGTTGTTTTGAGATGGTGTTGTTGTGAGTAGTAGAAGTTTTTCTATGATGATTCTTGTGTAAATGTGTATGATGAACGATTCATTGTTTTGCACCAAAAAAAAAAATTGTAGTGAGAAGAGAGTGTTTTTGTTGTTTTGTTTATGCAATTTCTCCCAAAGCTAATAATAATAAAGAGATTCTCGTGAAATGTTTTGTTTTGTTGAGCTGTGTGTGGGAAATTAAGGTTCGTCGGTGGCTGACTTTAGAGGAAAGTGAGTATTACTGCACTCACGGGAAGCCATTCTTTGTTCTTTTCTGCTTCTATTTTGGTGTCGAAAGCTTTCGTGGACCGACGACGTTTTGCTACAGATGATCGTTAGGTTACCAGGGTGCTCCAATTTGGGGGCTTGAAGGACTTAGCGCCATCACAAGGGGTATCGGAGCCAAAGGTTCGGCCAAGTCATGGCTAGTGGAAAAAAAAAACTGTAGGCTAGTGTCGTCGAAGAGGCTGGGAGTAGACTCGTAATCGTGTGGATGCCTTGTTACACAATTGAAGGGATAGATTTCGAGCAAGTGGGTTGCTTTTTCGGAGAAAGATGCGTTGGTTAGGCGGACCAAAAGACGTAAAGACTTGGGTAGTTGTTGTTTCTGGTGTTTTAGTCATCTTTCAATGGCTCCCTTAATTATGTGCGAGGAATCTCTCTTGTCGAGTAATGGGAAGTGGGCTAGTCCCCAAGAATGTCCATACCTTTGTCGTTGGGGTTCAAAATCTTCCTAAATACACTTAGCATGTTGTTACTCTAACAGCTAAAGCCGGTTGTTAGCAGAAATTGTTCTTTTTGAGCTGTGATTTGACACGGCGTTTGCTAGGAAGAGGAAATGATTCGTTGGAGAGGGGCCGAGGTGAGATTTCACAATTACGGTGTAGCTGCCACCCTCCAACCAAATCTTAGATTCAGATTCTCTTGTACATCTAACGAGATAGAATTGCTCGTTAGCCAGGTTGAACTCAAATGAGAAAAAAAAAACGTTATTTTTGTAATTATTAAATACATTTAAAAAAAAAATCGAAAGGATTTGATTGAGAAGGAAGTGGTGGAGGCCATGGAGGAGAGAAATATAAAGAGTTCAATTAAACAGGCAAAAGCCAGAGCATTTATTAAATTGGCCAACTTGCTTTTCAATGAAACGCTGCGTTTTGATGGTTTGAACACTTTATTTTATTTGGAAGGTTTGGAGAATTTGGTGACATGGAAGGAGGAGAGAGAGAGAGGGACCAAACTGTAATTTCCAGCCTATTTTTACCTGTTTTGTTTTTTTTTTCTTTTTTTTTATTTAGGTTAAATTACACCCCTTAATCCAAAATAATAATAAAAATATATTAAATTTTATTTTTAAAAAAATACTATCTAGATTTTCAAAAGTTTCAATAATATTCTTAAATATTAAATTTTTTTTTAAAAGTTTAAAAAATATTCTTAATTTTGGATAGAAATGGTGAGTGTTTTGTTTCAAAAAATACCCTTCACTCTTATTAGTATTTAAAAAATATTTTAAAAAGTTTTATTAATATTATTTTAACTTTTTTAAAAATAGGCATATTTAAAAGTACACAAAAACAAAATTAAAAAAATAGTATTAACACTTTTAATGTAAAAAAAATAATTTTTTTCATGGGAAAAAACTATCAATAGACACGTGTAATAATGATAAGATTATTTTTGAAATTTTCAAAACAATTTAAAATGAGAGTATAATGAAACTTTAAAAAAATTCTAGGGTATTTTTAAAAAAGTTAGAGTGCTTTTTTTTTAAAGTGCAACAGAATTTTTGAAATAAAGTACTTAACAGTATTTTGATTTTTTTTTTTGTTTTTTTGTAAATTTTAAGAGTATTTGTTAGACGGTTTTAAAAATTTAAGATATTATTAAAATTTTTAAAAGTTATTTTCTTTTTAATAAAATATAAAGTTTAAGGGTATTTTTATTTTGTAACAAATAAATTACCAAAGATTAATAACTAAACTAATACATATTTAATTTGACTTTCAATTTAACCTAAATTGTGATAGTTCATTTATCAATTAAATATATTTACAGAAATAAATATTTATGGTCAAATACAAATAGGTATCTTAGATTTCAGAACAATTTCAATTTGTTAATAGTGAGACAAGAATTATGCACAATAAAAGTAAAAAAACTAAAATAAATTATAAATTATTTGAATATTTATTATTGGACTTAAAAAAATAAATTCCAACAAATAAAGCAACCCATGACAGTTTTATGGGCATAATTTGACTTTCTTTTTGTCTCTACCATTGCCTTCCCCATTTGTCTCTGCCCATCACAAAATTAAAAGAAATATTCCTTACTTATAAATCGATGATCTTCCTCTTAATTAACCAACGTGTGATACTACTCTTCTTAATAATTCTCAACACACTTCACAATATTATGCATTTTTTTATCTAGATTAGGTGTAGGGTAGATAGTTCAACGGCCTTTGGAACACTACGTGTGGACGAGTGCCAAGTTTTCTCGAGTCCTAAGCTGGTTTTAAGCTAGTTTTCCTGGTTTTTCGCCTCGAAAAACTAAGGAAAAAGATCTAAATCGTTACAAATTCAAGCCAGTTTTCCCAAGTTCACTAACAGCCGCAACTCCTTTCTTCCATTCCCATTGTAATTGGGAATCCATACTCTTCCAGCTTTAACTTGCACTGTTTGCCACCCTGTCCCACTTTTTTGACACCTATCAGGGCAATAATTATCACAAACAGCTGACATTTGTTCATGTGGGAACAGTCGTACTTACTATAACAGCCTAAACCCACCGCTAATAGATATTATCCTCTTTGGACTTTTTCTTTTGGACTTCTCATCAAGATTTTTAAAACGCATATGCTAGAGAGAGGTCTCTACACCTTTATAACGAATGTTTCGTTCCCCCTCTCTAAACGATATGGAACTCACACCTACCACCACATGCTCTAATATAATTCCAAACGAAATGGGGTGGGCTCTGCCAATATTTTCTAATGCCCTTTCACCAACATTCCACCACCACTATTTAATGCAAGGCCCACTTCTGAACAGAAACTCAAACTACACAAAGAAAATAATTATTTCAGAATCAATTTCTGTAGGTTTATGGTTGTCGCCCTATCTGTAAACAGCTACTGCCGTTTGCTATGGGAAGGGTGGAGGGCAACAGTACATATTTTCACGAATGCGAGCCTGGAAAGCAACCTGGTGTTATTGAACATTATGGCACATGATCCAGCCACATCCAACTATCATGTTTTCGACAACTCTGTTTCGTATGGGATAAGGGTGAAGAAAAACAAAAATCTACAACAATTTCAAGCTATTCATCAATCATTTAATTTAAGTACAGGGGTTCACCTGTTCGAGTAGGCAAGTGTAGCTTAAGAAAACAGAACTCAGAAATCAACATTCAGGAGAACATCTACTTTGATATAGAAAGTAATTATGGATGATCAATTCTACATATGTTCAGATCAAGATTGGAACAATGAAGAAAACTGACAGTGTATGGCCGTGATCATCCATGCACAAACATCTGCGTTCTGCAACAAAAACTTTTATTCCTTCGTCAAGAGAACATCCGCCATAACTCCTGCACCTAGGACTACATCAGCGTTAGTGCTAAATACAAGAGTCTCCTCAAGTATAGTGAGGAATTAATAGAAAAAGAAAAAGTCTAAAAGGCTTTAGTTGCAAAGCTGAGAGTGGTGAAATAAAATTGAAATCTTGCACGAAACCTTCAAGTAAATGTGTACGTGAGAAAGGAGTCTTACAAATGTTCAAATTTCAAAAGAGAGCATTTTGAGTTTCGAGGCTCTATGTAGCTAACAAAAGGGATTTGACTTGGCTTAGAACTTCCTCTTTTTACGCAAGGCGTTGCTTGATGTGATATTTCAGAAAGAAATCCTTCCAATGCAGCAGCACCACAAAATTCACACCAATAAAAAGAGGAAATAAAAGTCAAGTTTATGCCTAAAACTGTTCAGAAAGGACTAGCTTAGGCTTTAGACATCAATGGAACTTGTCCCAAACTTTTAAGAACTTTATGACAAAATGGGCACTAGAGCTGCCACAAATCCAATTTTCTTGATAAACTCAGAGAGTTAAGCTGGCGCACAAACTCCGAGAGGTGTGAACAAGGGAATCAAGAAAACCAATCAAAACCAACATCGGCCGTCAGCTTGAACCACACACATCGGCTGGAGTGGCCAGAAAATGCCTTTCCAACCAATTGAAAAAACAAGTAAATAAATTTAAAACCTGCTCTGCACTTCTGCATCGTTTGGCTCCCTCTTACCTTCTGTTTTTTTCTTTTTTGTTGAAAATATTTACCTTAGTTTTCTTTTACGTACTGGACACCCTACCTCTCATTTCTCAAATCTCAACCAGCCCTAACTCACTCAGCCCATGCCGCATGCCTCCGACTTAAGCTCCCTCTCAATCCTCACTAAATATCCGCAGCGCAGCTCTCCCTCTCAGTTCTCACTCTCAGCCCTCTAACACTGACTCTTACTCTCTTAATTCCAACTCATGCATTGGCCTTCATCTCAACTTCACTCATTCTCATCTTATCTATCAGTCACCATTGAAACAAAGCCAACCAAACTGACGGGTGATTATTCAATTTAAATAGATCGCCAGAAGCCATCACTTTACACTATGTGAAAACCAATACGCCAGTTATGGCATCAGTTTGGACCCAAAACCACCGCTAACCAATTGTTATGCACCCCTAGTTCTTTCTCTGAGGTTTTTTGTTGTAAATGTACAAGCTCTATAAACAACAATTAACCTAACCAACCATCAGCAGCTAATCAAAAACTGAATCACATAGCCTAGCAACACAATGGACGCACAAACTAGCTTAAATCTGCCATCATATTTTGGGGGAGAAGAGAAACAAAGCACTTTCGATGAAACAGACAATTTTGGAGATTTGGGGATCTTTCAGACCACTTGACCTTGCTAATGGAGTGCCTGGACATTTTTAAAATCAACCTCCGTCAGCTTTAAAATGAGTGTTACCACAACTCCTTTGACTTAGAGATTATCTTATTATTAATACGTATGCACTGGGTTGGGGTAGAGAAGGGGAGTATTGAGGGTTTTAGGG